CCTATTGGTAGCCGATTGATAACCTATTGATAACCTATTGATACCCTATTTAACTAATTTCGACCTGTGATAATGGGTAGGGAAAGGACCTCGGACATCTAATGTAAAGATCATAATTGACTTTTGGCCAAAAACACCACTTTTTACTAAACTCAAAAAATTGTTTTTTGTAAATATCTCAGCATCCAGTAATTCAATTTTGATGAACATTTTTTTATTTTGTAGCCCTCAATTTAAAAAAAAATCATCAAAATTGGACTACTAAATGCCAAGATATTTACATCAGGAAGTCACGGGAAAAATGTTCATCACATGTATGATTTTTGCAGATCATTTACATCGCAATTGTCATTAAAAAAAATATACATGTAATATTTAACGTTAATGAACATCATCTATCGTGATGTACAGCATTTAATAATGAACATTTAATGTACATCAAAGTGATTTGCAAGCAATAGTAATTTAAACTGAATACCCGCTATAATAAAAATATTACTTTATATGTATTTTACTAAGAACTCCGTCTTTCCCGTACATACACATTTTTTACTACGAATAGTAGTATTAGTTTCTGCAAAAATTTTATTTTGAATAGTACGTCTTTTATTAGTATAATATTTTTTATTAAAAATGTCGAGAACTAGTAGAAAAGTTAGCGTTATTTTCGCTCAACAAGAAAATACGCCACTAAATTTTCTTTAACTGAACGACATTCATACATTCTAGTTTACTAATTTCAGTTTCATTTATTTAACTATTATTAAAACACTACATTTACTAGTAATTTTCGTCTCAGTATATGATCATATAACATTAAAACATAAAAACGTTTACAAAAAATTCATCATTTTTTATAAATCGTTGTATAATATGCACTGGTTCTACACCTGACTCTACAGGAATAAATTCGTATTGGGAAGTTTGAATTAACCACGGACATCCATATTTTTCTAGTTCACGAGTATCTTTATAGTCATACCATTGCACAAGTGCTAAATCAAACGTAACATAGCATCTCATATTAACAGACTAAGACCCAATAAATGCATTTATATTATTTTAGACAAGATTTTTAATAAATCTGTGCCTAAACTCACTAATCTTTGCAATGGAATATATTAAAAATTATTATGCATATATTGACAATAAAATTCTTATTAAAAGACACATCCACAACAATGGGCTGATCAAATAAGATCAACTTTGCAAATATTAATTACAGCTGATTGCAAAATTGTAAAACCACCCTATGATTTTCAATTTAAAAATTTGATATTTTAAATTTTTCAAGAATTAGTAAAAAAGCAAGTTTAAGTAACATGGCTTTAGATGATCCCAAAATAAGTATCTATTTTGGGGGTCATCTAAAGCCATATTCGATCATGTGACTTAACATTTTATAAATAAGCCATTTTTTTATGAACTAAGATTAATGTAAGTATGAAGATTATAAAATAAGTGTATTTTGGCCTGCTTTACAAGTTTACTTAGTGAAAAAAAGCTGGTTTTAAACACTGTTTTTGACTTTACATATGAACGAATAATCTTTGCTGATTATATCCAAAAATGGATGATGAAAATGAAAAAATTCAAAACCCCATGTTGCGCACTAAGTAAACTTGCACAGCAGGTTAAAATACATATACTATATGTAACTTTAAAGTTTTATGTATTGGCGAAAAAGTTTTATTTGTAAAAAATAAATTTTTACAAGTCATGTGATTGAACACAGCTTTATTAGATGCCCCTATTTTGGTAATAACTTTAACTTTTTAAAATTAATAAAGTACCTGA